ATTGCAAATCATGTTAACAGATCCAAATTCGGCACCAACAGAAGTAGGGAAAGCTTGGATTATTGCACGACAAAATAAGATATTAGCATCTTTGAATTCACGGTCCATCCCAAAGTTCCCATAGGATTTTGTAATCCTTGATCTATTTATTTTCTTATTCCAATTTAAGATATTGTATTGTTTAAATTATTTTTAATTGTTTTGTTTAATTTTTTTTTTTTAATCCATAATGGATAATGTATTGTTTCAAGTTATAATATTAATCGTAGTTTTTTTAATAATTTACAAAAAATATTGTTTGACTGAAAAATATTGTTGTTGAGAAAATATAGCCGTTAAAAAATATAACGGCTAGGAATTTTTTTTTTTTAAAATGATAAATTTACATATATATTTTTTTGGAGAGCGAAAATTCGGTGAGCCTGATGGAGTGTATATTTTTGGAGAGCGAAAGCTGATGACGTGGCTCTTGAAATTGTTAATGTAGCTCTTGAAAAAATTAATGTGACATTTTTAAAGAACCAAAATTCAAAAAGGCTGATGTCAATGGCCTAAGGTAAGCCTACCCATAAAAGTGTAGAGTCTGTTCACGTTATTGTATGCTACCAGACAATAAATGTTGAATGATAATGGACAGAGAAGGTGGTATATATTATTCTTTTCCATTCGATTTAGGAATCTTAAATATTATACAAACATTGCTTTAGTACGTAGGAGAATTGCAAAGTTTCGTTTTTTATCAATATAATACTTCATTCATTATTACTCTTGCGGATACGAGATAAAGTTTGCCTATCCATGCTGACCAGTGAGTTCTAGTGGTTTGATTCTAAAATTTGTAATATCATATGATATCGCTCATATTAATTTCAAATCATATAATAATTTTACCGTTGAGCACAAGAATTATAAGCGGAGTGCCTTGGATTTCAAAACGTGATTCGGCAAAACGTGGGTGCGTGTATTATCTTCAAATATTATATATATACAAGGCATCTCTGGCAAGAATGACGTATTATATTGATAGAATGAAAATTCAATAGAAGTATATGTTATACAAATAAAATGGAACACATGGGGTTTCAAGGCACATCGTCTTTGACCAACCAGAATTGCTGTGATGGATGCCATTCTGAAACTACGTTCTAGTGGCAATTAATTAATGTCTCATCTTCCCAAACCACCCTCACAAGCTACTATAAATTAATTTGATGCAACACTTAAATCTTGTGCTTAATCTGTTTCTGAATTGCAAGCTGTTCCAAATGGCTTCTTCCTTCCATATCTTCCTTTTCTTTCTTCTTGTTGCCTCCTTTTCCCTCTCACATGGGGCGTCCAAAAAGCCCCAAAGCCTAATATTTCCCATCAAGAAAGACAATGTGACCCTCCAATACTCTACTTCCATGGACATGGGTACTCCTCTCAACTTCTGGGATGGAGCCATTGATCTTGGAGGCCAATTGGTATGCCTCAACTGTGACAACTACAACACATCAACCTATCGCCCAATTCGGTGTGGCTCTTCGAAATGCACAGCAGCTAAGGGATCTGGGTGTATGGGCTGCAATGACCACGTAGGCCGGGTTGCACCAACAACACTTGCGGTGGCTCCCCTTACAACCCCTTCAAGAACTTGCTCTATGCTGCTGGACTTGGCGAGGATGTCATGAATGTGTATTCCACCGATGGCAAGTTTTATTTGCTCCAGTCTGATGTCCCTCGTCTCCTTTTCTCATGTGCAGATTCAGGTATCTTGGAAGGCCTTGCTGAGACTACCAAGGGGATGGTAGGCTTTGCAAGGACTCAAACTGCCTTGCCTATGCAGCTAGCATTGGCAAAGAAGTTACCTCATAAATTTGCTCTTTGTATTCCATCTTCAACTCAGAATGGATTTGGTGCTATTTTCATTGGTGGTGGACCTTACTTTATGCCTCCTTATCCCCATGACATGTCTAAGTCACTAATCACCACTCCTCTCCTCATTAACCCGGTGAGCACTGCCCCGATTTATACTGAGGGAGATGCTTCTGATGAGTATTTCATCGGTGTGAGGTCCATTAAAGTCGGTGGTACACTTGTATCTCTCAACTCTTCCTTGCTAGCCATCGACAAAATGGAGTAGGTGGGACAAAGCTTAGTACCACAGCCCCTTATACCATTTTGCATACTTCAATCTACAAGGCTGTTATCAATGCTTTTGTGAAGGCGGCTGCATCGAGGAAGATCAAAAGGGTGACATCTGTGGCACCATTCGGAGCGTGTTTCAGCTCAAAGACCATCATGGCTAGCACCAGGACTGGACCAGCTGTGCCAACTATCGATCTGGTGCTGCAAAGCAAGAGTAAGTATTGGAGAATTTACGGTGCCAACTCGTTGGTGAAAGCTGGGAACGATGTGTTCTGCTTAGGATTTGTGGATGGAGGATCAAATCCAAGGACTTCAATCGTGTTAGGTGGGCATCAATTGGAAAACAATCTAATCGAGTTTGATCTAGCTTCCTCAAAGCTTGGGTTTAGCTCTTCACTGCTTCTCAAGAATACAAGTTGTTCCCAGTCCAGAATTTTTTAAATTAAGGATTTTTTTTTTTTTTTTTTTTTTTTTTTTTTTTCAATAATCGAATAAAGATATGCAAGTTCAGTTCAAGATTAATGTCCATTTTTATTTAAAATCATGCTACGTTTTTAGTTTTGTCCTTTCAAAATGTAACATTATGCTGCCAAGTACCAATATATATATATTAAAAGCTTTCAATTTGATGGGATTTACTTTGGAATATACATGACCGTTTTCAGAGAAAGTTACCTGAGTTTTTGAAAACGCATTGGTCTTTCTTGTCCAATCTTTCAATTCTTAAGTTACAATTATTGGTCAAAAAGTGTTAGGGCTTGACATTTTCAATTAGTGGTCTTCAAAGAGAGATTTTAAATTTAGCGGTGAATTCAGCGGAAGCCACATGTTAATTAGAGGTTATTTATCCTATATCAGATTTGAATGAGAACGTTATGGATTTATATGACTAATAATGCATCACTACTCAATCGTTTAAGACACTACTCAACCACTTAAGATTTTAGGTCAGAACAATATTAAAGTCAAACTCAGTTCTCAAATAGGATAGATGGTCGGACATAAATTAATAGTTTTTTCTTTTTTTCTTATTCATCAATCGAATCAATTTGTTGGAGAAGTAGATAATTAGAATACTATCAAAATTAAAAGGCCAAGGACCCGAAACTTTACATGTTCCTCAATTATTTTAGAATGGCACATGTGACAAGTCTGTGGAAAGATATTATTATAATCCTTTCAAACAGTTTTAAAATATCAAATAATTCACTAGTTGTTAATAAAACAAAAGTGAACTATTAATTTAACAAGAATAAAATAGCAATTTCAATTACTTCTACATATCAACTTTATAATACTGGATATTGATGTCACGTTCGTGTACAATATTATATCAGTTTTGCGATAGAAATTTTGAAGAAAAAAATTCAACTTAATGATATGTTTTTCTATTTGATAGTTTTTCAATAACATCTTATATTTCAATTGGGTTAGGGTAACCAAGACAAAAGGCTCCTATCTGTATTGGTTCAATTTACTTTCAGGACGGCATGGTGGGTTTAACAAAATAATATCAACTTACACATTTTATCAAACACCTCCTGCGCAAAGCAACTTAATTCTCTTTCAATCCTACGCTTTTGAACCATTATTAACAATGGATTTTAAAATAGTACTCATAGTCATATACCCAAATAGAATTGATAAAAGTACTCAGAGAGAGCCAACATACAGATTGAAATAACGATCACAAACACAATATAATGTAAATAATAATAATAATAAGATTGAACAAGTGTACTTTAGGAGATCTTACTGTGTAACAATGGAATTCACCGTAGCGGATATAGTTGCCGTCATCAATGCCTCACTGAAATCAGGGCGCAGACTACGTATGATTATGAGCTCAATGGCTCTGTTTATTATTTTCTGATAAATGTACAAGGTGTAGTGCAAAAAAAAAACACACCTGTTTTATACAGTAAAAAAAAGTACTAATAAAAACCACTTTTCAAATAGAATAAATAATAATATTTTTTTAATTTAAAAACTGAAATACCCAAAATGTCATTAAAGCAAAATAAAAATTACTTATATACATAAATTTTATTAAGAGTATTTTGAGTTTTTTATTAAAAAAAAAATTAATCAAAATTGATGATTATAAATTATTAAATTATAGAGATTTATACGCACGCACATGCTACATATGAGAATCTTTCTTGCACATTTTTTATTTTTATATAGAGGGTGTTTTGTGCTTTTTACATTTTAAAGTATTTTTGTGACTATGTTTGGCTTAATTTATTATTCTATATATGACTCTAAATTTTTACTATTATCAAAATAATAGCATTGACACGATTGTCATGATGAAATCATACTATTATCAGTTGGTTGCATCTCTCTATATCACAAAAAAAATTTATTTGAAATAATGAATACTTCTTCGATTTAAAAAAAAAATTGGCCTGCTTTGGAACCCGACTCATAAGGAACTTTGACTCCCAACAGATTCTAAAGCAGAATACTTTTTTTGAGACAAAATTAGCATGACACTCTTTTTTTAGACAGAATTAATTAATTATTTTTTTTTTTTTTTTTTTTTTTTTGCTAATGCAACGGTAAAATTAGATTAGTAAAAGTATATTGAAATATAAAAACAAACATTTTGTATAAATATTATATCAAATGTTGAATAATTATTCACTCCTCGTGTACACAAGTATACAAACAAACCGCGTAAGACTGAATGCCCATGAAAGTGAGCAGTCAATTCACATGCTCACTGAATGGTTCTGGACAGAATTGTTGGAATGGTAATGGACCACCGGCAGAGAAGGCACATCGTCTTTGACTGACCACAATGGCTGCTGCTACGTATTAGAGGCAATTAATTAATTCCGAAATCTTCCCAAACACCACCCTCACTACCTACTATAAATTCTATCAAACACTTGCCATTTCTGTGTGCTCTGTCTCTCAATTGCAAGATATATTCCAAATGGCTTCTTCCAGCTTCCATCTTTTCCTCTTCTTTGTTTTTGCTTCCTTTTCTTTATCATACGAGGCGTCGTTGTCGAAGCAAAAGCCCCAAAGCCTAATATTTCCCATCAAGAAAGACAATGTGACCCTCCAATACTCTACTTCATTGGACATGGGAACTCCTCTCAACTTCTGGGATGGAGTGATTGACCTCGGAGGCCAATCGGTGTGGCTCAACTGTGACAAATACAACACATCAACCTACCGCCCAATTCGGTGTGGCTCATCGAAATGCAAGGCCGCCAAGGGCTCTGGCTGTAGCGGCTGCAATGCACCACGCAGGCCGGGTTGCACCAACAACACTTGTGGTGGCTCCCCTTACAACCCCTTCGAGAACCTGCTATATGGTGAAGGGCTTATCGAGGATGTCATGAATGTGCATTCCACCGATGGCAAGTTTTATTTGCAACAGTCTGATGTCCCTCATTTCATTTTCTCATGTGCAGATTCGCCATCTATGTTGAAAGGCCTTGCTAAGACTACCAAGGGGATGGTAGGGTTTACAAGGAATCATATTGCCTTACCTATGCAGATAGCATTGGCACACAAATTGCCTCCTAAATTTGCTCTTTGTATTCCATCTTCAACTGAAAATGGTTTTGGGGACATTTTCATTGGCGGTGGACCTTACTTTATGCCTCCTTATCCCAATGATATGTCAAAGTCACTATTCACCACTCCTCTCCTCATCAACCCGGTGAGCACTGCCCCGATTTATACGGAAGGAGAGCCTTCAGACGAGTATTTTATCGGTGTGAGATCCATTAAAGTTGATGGTAAACTTGTCCCTCTCAACGCTTCCCTGCTAGCCATCGACAAAAATGGAGTCGGTGGGACAAAGCTTAGTACCATAGCCCCTTATACCATTTTGCATACTTCAATCTATAAAGCTGTTATCAATGATTTTGTGAACAAGGCTGCAGCTAGGAAGATCAAGAGAGTGACATCTGTGAAACCATTCGGAGCGTGTTTCAGCTCAAAGACCATCATGGCTAGCACCAGGACTGGACCGGCTGTGCCAACTATCGATCTGGTGCTGCAGAGCAAGAGTATATATTGGAGAGTTTATGGTGCCAATTCGATGGTGAAAGCTGGGAAGGATGTGTTATGCTTAGGATTTGTGGACGGAGGATCAAACCCGAGGACTTCAATCGTGTTAGGTGGGCATCAATTGGAAAATAATCTGATCGAGTTTGATCTGGCTTCCTCAAAGCTTGGGTTTAGCTCTTCACTGCTGCTCAAGAACACAAGCTGTTCCCAGTCCAGAATCTTTTAAATTAAGGATTTCTTTTTCCTGTTTTTTTTTTTTTTTTTCCTTCGAATAAGGATATGCAAGGGCAATTCAAGATTAATGCTCATTTTATTTAATAGAATTCTACATTATTTTCAGTTTTAGCCTTTCAAAATGTAACTTTATGCTACCAAGTAGCAATCTAATAAAAGCTTTCAATTTGATGGGATTAATTTACTATGGAATATGACCCTTTTCAAATTAAGAATGTTAACATGAGATATTTGAAAATGCATTGGTCTTTTCTTGTCCAATACTCTTTTAATTCTTAAGCTCAAAAATCTGTCACAAAAAACCGTGAAAAAATAAACCGGTTTTAATTTGTTAGGGGTATGGATAATGTAAAAGAGCAGGAGAGAAAGAAGAGAGTGGTTGGCCTTTGGTCAACTCAGCTACCAAAATTTAAAGCTTAATAAGTTCAAATTTTATAAAGGGTAAATTGCAATAAACCACTCTAAACTATTACCAAAAAACACTTAAAACCCCTTAATGAAGTAGCGTATCCTGAACAATTTAAAAAGTGTAATTTAAGAACAAAATCAAAATTTGCCATCACCGTAGGTGTTAGATTACCAAATTACACTTTAGTAAAATGACCTCGTTTGATTGTAAAAAATCCCCCTGAACTACTACATTTTTTGCAAAAAATCCCTCTAAACTACAAACAGCCCCCTTAAACTAATGATTTATTGTAACTAAAGATATACCCATCACAAAAAACAATTTTACCCATTTTTATTAAATTGGTCATTTCTTATTAAATAATCTTTATTAACATTTCCATATTTAAATATTAAGTATACCATTTATCTTTTTTTTTTCTTTTTTTTTCAAATTTACCTTAATTTTATTATTTATATCAATTTATCATAATAATGGAAAAAAATAAAAATAAGCATTGTAACTTCCATCAAATTTAGCCATTTTCTAAACTGATTAACTTATTGTTAAAAATTTACTATTTAAAGTAAAATTTATTATACCCAGTTTAAAAAAAATAAGAAATTACTTAAATAAAAAAATTCTTTTTTTCATACAGTATATTCATGAAAAATAAAAAAAAAATACTTAAAATTTTTCTACTTAAGATTTTTATTAAAAAATTAATTTCAATAATTAATGGTAAATTTATACACATTTGATGGAAATATGGCATTAAAATAGTATAATTTTGTTTGTATTTGTTTTATAAAGAAAAATATATTAATTGTAATTCAATAAGAAATGACATTATGACCATTTAAGAAAAATGTGTTAATTCATGGGACGTAATGTACAAAATATAGTTTAGGGGCATTATTTGCACTTTACCCTTATATATTCTAATGATAATAAGAGTAACATTATCATTTTCAAAAACCAAACTGAATAGTGATGTCAGGTGTTTTTTTGTGAGAAATGGGATAGTTTAAAGGGTTTATGGTAAAAATTTCTATTCAGGGTAGTTTCTTGGGAGAGAGAGTAAGGATTGGGGATTTTTTTATTTTTGCACTTCCCCCTTTTATAAATTATGAAAAGTAATGATTATTAGAAAAAATATATAAATTGAGTTTTATAAATAAAAAAGAAAAGTACAAATTATTGCTTGCACTCTAGCACTTTTACTATAGTAAAAACCTTTGGAATTCGAAGAAGAACTCAACCAATCGACAACACCATAATTGCAATTATATTTTATTGATTAATTTAAATGGACAGTCTAGACCTCAAACTTTAGAGTTGGAGTTGAATGATTTAGCCAACCAGTAACAATCGTATTTAAAAACCATGGCCCATGGGCATTGGAATATGCTACGAATATCTCTAATCTTCCTTCTATTGCATTTAAATATAGAAAATAAGAGATGCGGAGGAAAGAAAATGCCAACCATAATCTATACATGTGTATCCCATGCTCACAAAACATGAAGATAAACATTGCCCCAATATGTCACTTGGGGACCATCCACTACTAAAATAGCTTTAAAATCTACTCGGCAAAGACTCAGATCGATATATTCAAGAACTTATCATCTTATCCACTCCTGTCTCCTCCTACATATTATTTGTCAAATTTCGCTTGCCGCGGCGTCCCACCGCAACACACACACGCACACAGTAAAAACATTTGTAACAAACGCCAAAAGCAGGTTCCCTTATCAATTCTCTCTCTCTCTCTCTCTCTCTCTCTCTCTAGATCTGTTTTATCTTTCTCTCTCTAGTCTCTTTCCATGGCTTCCTCTCTTCAACACCTCCTCTTTTCCTTCATTTTCATGCTCTCAATCTCTGTTGCTCAGAGACCATCCTTCCCAAATCATGCTATGCTCCTTCCTGTCACCAAACAACTCCCAACGCTTCAATATTTGACTCACATACATTTGGGTACTCCACTTGTTCCCATCACCCTTGTAGTTGATCTTGGCGGTCCATTCCTCTGGGTTGATTCCGCATCGACACACGTGTCATCATCTTACCAGCCCATCAAGTCTGGCTCACTACAATGCTCAATGGCCAACACCAACAACTCTTGTCAAAATTATGGTAATTGCTTGTCTAGATCCAACACATGTACTCTATGCCCAGAAAATTCCATCACAACAAAGGTCACACAAGGAGATCTAGCAGAAGACACCATAGCCGTCAGATCAGAGCTCGGTCAGATCACAGCCGTCCATCACTTCCTGTTCTCATCAGCCCCCACTTTGTTACTCAAGGGACTAGCAAGTGGTGTGAAGGGGGTACTAGGCCTCGGAAGGTCCAGAATTGCACTTCCATCACAACTTGCCAACACAGTCTCCTACCACCGGAAATTCACCGTCTGCCTGTCGTCGTCAGAGGGCGTCATAATCTCCGGTGAGAGCCAATTCGCCACCGACATTTCAAAGTCATTAATGTACACACCACTCATCACCACCGACCAAGGCGGTGGTACGTTAAGAGAGTATTACATTAATGTGAAGTCCATAAAGATAAATGGCAAGCGATTATCGATCGATACATCTTTATTAGGCATTGGAGGGACAACAATTAGTACAATTGTGCCTTACACCACTTTGGAGAGTACCGTCTATGAAACACTTAGCAAAGCTTATATTAAGGTTGCCAATGTCATGAACATGACTAGGGTGGCATCAGTGGCACCGTTTGGGCTCTGCTTCAGCTCGAAAGGGATCGAAAACACCCGGGACGTGCCGGTGATTGATCTGATGTTGCAGAGCGAGATGGTTAAGTGGAGGATACATGGGAGGAACTCAATGGTGAAGGTGAGTGATGAAGTGATGTGCTTGGGGATGTTGGATGGGGGTGTGAAGCCTAGGGCTTCTATTGTTATTGGGGGTTATCAGTTGGAGGATAATCTGCTAGAGTTTAATTTAGCTACTTCTATGCTTGGATTTAGCTCATCATTATTGATGAGGCAAACCAGTTGTTCGAGTCTCAAATTGTATTCCATGTCTAGTCATGAATCAATTTGAGTCGTATATCCTGTACAGTTTTGTTCAAGTTAATAACCAATGTATTAGTGGTGTGGTGTCGTACAATTTTTTTCTCCGACCACAAATCAATTTTGGGTTATTACTTCTGTATTTTTGGTCTTGCTTAAATTAATGTCTTCAACTCAATAGATGAAAACAGAGCATGTTTATTTATTAATCTAAATAAAGCATAATTTTTTTATGTTACCCAATTAAAGCATAACGGCATATGCCTTAGAGCAATTTCAATGGCATGTTATTTTTAAAATATAGCATATGAGTTTAAAATGAGCTCTCCAATGACATGTCCAAATATAATTTTATCAAATGTTGTGTCAAATATAACATAACATATAACTATTGCCAAATATATTATTACTCTCTCCCTTCTCTCTCGCATAGGCTGCCAATTTGGTTTTAGACATATATATATATATGTCAGTTGTGCTTGTTGTGTGTATATATATGTATATGTCTGTTTTGTGTATGTGTATATATATATATATGTCTATGTGTGTATATATATATATATATCTGTTGTGCTTGTATATATATATGTCAATGTTTTTTTTATTCATTTTTAATAAGACAAATAAGCTAAATAAAATATAAATGCACAAAAAAATAAAATAAAAATAAAATAAAAATGGTTGTTGAAAATTGTAGTTGGAAATGGTAGTTGAAAAATAATAATTGTTGTGTCAAAAAATAACATTTTGGATGAAATGCACCATTGGAGCAGAATTACTAAAATATTGCACTGTATTTTCTCTTAAAATATAAATTTAGTATGTAAAAATAACATTTTGTATTGGAGATGATCTTACGAGGAAAGGATAATGCTGACATCTATTTTATTTTAATAAAAGTGACCGTACCACTACAAACAATTTTGGAATTGCTTTAATTTTTATTTGGTGAAAAAAAAGTTAATGTATTATTTTTACATTACGAAGACGATATTCACAATTCACTTGTTTATCTTTGGAATACAATTTTAAATGAAATAATAATTCTAACCTTAACTTTACAAATAAATTATTATTACTTTTTAAATGACTCAACCATTCTTTTAGACTTTCTCATCTCTCGATCTTTAATATTTTAGGTGTCTTTTGACAAGATAATAAAAAAAATAAAAACAGTTAAATAATTTATTTTTTACACGAAAAAAGAAATTTATGTTGAATAAATTACATTTTTTGACAACCGAAAAAAAAAAAAAAAATTGAAGATATTATATCATGTCAAAGATAAAGATTAAAAAAAAAAAAAACAAAATGTATGGATAAATAGGATTAAAAAATATATATTTCTATTGAATAAATTATTTCTTTTTATAAGACTCAAAAATATATATTTATTATTATTAAATAAATTATTTCTTTTGATTGTACTCATAAAAAAAAAAATTAAAAAAAAATTTACCGCTTTTGTCAAGCTTGAAAAATGAAGTTTACCTTGTTTAATTATTTGATTCGATTGACAAAAAAGAAAAAAAGTGATTATTAGATAAATTATTTTTTTTTATTGTCAAAAATAAAATTATTAAAAATAAATTATCTTATTTGAGAGCACCTCCAAAAAGAAAAAAGAAAGAAAGTATAGCAAGGGGAAAAAAATATTAAAGGAAATAAAGAAGGTAAAAATAAATAAATAAATTTAAATAAAGGGTAGTTATGACATTATAAAATAGAATTAATTTCATTTACATCCTGACCTTTGACCATATTCCTCTTACACTTCCTCTAAATTTCAATATTTCACCTACCTCCCTTCACTTGTGTAATTTTACAATCTTGCCCATCAATTATATATTACTAATATTTATAAAAATTTAGAGTTGAGTTGAAAAGACAAAAACACCCTTCTTGCTACTCACAAACAAATATATATACATTACATACACATTCAAATATATACACATTACATACAGATATATACAGATATACAGCAACAGAGAACAATAAACCCAGTTGTTCCAAACTTGTAACAGACCCACGGCGCAACAGAGACAGATCCACGCCGACGACCGGAGAAAGCTCCACACGGACAATGATGCTAGAGGCAGCAGCGATGATAAGGACGACGGGCAACAACGTGGATTCCCACTGGGGTTTCCGGCGGCAGTACAAGCTGAATCGGCAAGCAAATATAACGACTGTTCATTGAACGGCGAGCAAGGACCAGAAATCTGACGACGGCGATATTCGACGACGTGGTGGTGATGGTGATCCAATTTTGGTCACAGTGATTAGAGAACAGTGTCGGGTCTTGGTGATTTGAATAGTTTTATTTGTTTAATTTGATGGGTATATTTGTGGGTATGATTGGTGGGGATTTGGGTTTGCAAGTGGTTGATTGGTGTAGTTGGAGATCTAATCTGGTCTTTGATGGAGGGAATGAAACGGCCGAGTTGGCGAGGCTTATGGCGGACGACGAAGTCAAAGGCAGAGACAGAGGGTAGTGGCTCGCGGTTTGGAGAGAGAAATTTGTGGCGAGAGAGAGGATGGGCCGGCAGAGACTGACGGTCAGCGAGAACAGCGGATTGATGGCGGTGTGAAGGCTCGACGATGACAGCGGATTCCCAACGGACACATACACACAGAGACACATATATACGCACAGACACACATACATTACACAGAAGTATGAAGAAAAATAAAAGATAAGGGTAATTTTGTAACTCTGCAATGGTCAATGAGGTTAAAAATGTCATTTCATCCATTGTGAAGGACAAAATTGACTTTGTACCCATTTATCTTTTTTGACATCAACACTAACAGTTTATTACTTAAAGGCAAGGAAAAAGAAAAAAAAAAAAAAAAAGTAGGTGGAGTGCAATCGGATAAAAGGGACTAATATCTCTTCCCTTTACACTATTCTCAATTTATCATTCTTCCATTCAACTTATAAAAATAAAATATCATCTCATCACTTGGACCAACATAAATATATTTGGTAATTTATTTATTGTCAATATAATAAAAAATATATATTAAAAATTTAGGTTTTAAAAAAATTGACAAATCACAAACTGATACGTAAATAAAAAGCAAAGTCAAAATATTAGGACTATAATTAACCGTTCCATGCTAAATAATTGTTATAATAAAATTTAAAACTTAATACAATAATTTTTTTAATGATTTTTAAAAGTTAATCCGCACTTTCTTAGACCAAAGGTTGGATTTTTTAGAAAATTACATTCCATTAGTTTTTCTCAAAAATATAAATCTATCAATTTTATATTCGTCAAATTATAGGTATACATATAAATTAGAGACTCTGATAGGATTAATTATTAGTGGGGAAATTTAGATCTTAAAGTCATGCAGGGACTGGAATCATAAATACGAGCAACATACAAAAAAAGAAAAAAAAAAAAAAAAAAAGTTTGAGAAAACTTAAATACAATGTCCACAAGCCCCCAACTATCTAGACGGTGTTGAGGTGGTCCCAAGTTGCCAATCTTGACTTCATTTTCTAGCTTTCAAGACAACATTGACATGCCGTATGCCGCATACACTACCAAACACAACACGTTATTAATACACCAACTTGACACAACCATGCACACCCGACATGTCCATCCAGAGCTTCAAACGCACACACATCAACTTAGACTAAAAAAAATATATGAATACAACGTGATACGAATATAATAATATAATAAATTTCAAAATAAACACAAAGGTCGTATACCCATCCACCACTTCAAACACACATCATGTAGTAGAAGTTTATATTGTAGGAGTAGCACTTTTGTTAATCACCAACAGCGTGAAAGAGTGAATGCATGTATCAATGTTATCTAGTTATGCTTTGAAAGATTACATTCAAAAAGTGACAACTTAGAAGTTTTGATCAGTGATATCCTAAAGCTGCAACTAGCACCATCGATATAATTAATTCAAACATTTGAAAACAGATCTTGTTATTTAATTAATACAATAATGCATCACAGCATATGCCTTGGGAAAGTATTATATTGGCATGTTGATTATTTTATATGTAATTTCTTTACAAGTTTATCCGGCATTTCAAATACATATATCAACTTTATTTTTAATAAAAATAAGGCACGGTATAAGTACGAAGATATGATAAATTTTAAAATAAACACCATTGGCAAATGCCCGTCAACCACTTCAAACACACACATCAAGTAGTAGAAGTCTATATTGTAGGAGTAGCACTTTTTCTAATCAGCAACAGAGCGTAAAACAGCGAATGCATATATTATCACTTTATGCTTTGAAAGATTACAAACGGCACATTTTCTGTTCTGGAAATTACGCAGATTTTTCTTACTTTTAAAAATACCTCCCTTTCGTTACTGTCAACGACGAAAATTGATGACATCAGCTATTATTTTTATTAAAATTTCTAAAATACCCTTATCTATATATATATATATATACACACACTTAATATTATAATTGATTAATACTTACGGGATTCAGAGGATTGTGTTCTTTGAAGCTTTCTTCGAGATAAGCCGACTGTTCCTTGGAGAGTCTGAGTTTCTTCCTAGTCAGACCATTTTATGTTTTTTTGGTTCAAGTAAACTATTATTTGAGGTGATTAGGGTTTTGAATCATGATATTGGTATCAATTTGTTTGATATATTATGATCAGCAAACCCTGACAAAATCTCCTTCCACTTGCATAGAATTTGAACAAAGTCTGTCCTTCTTTCAACAACAATGGCGAGTCATTGCCATCGCCGACCCTCATCAGACTAAAATTCTTGTCGAAAATGGAGTCTTTGGTGGTGAATTTCGCCGCCCAAGACAATGCAATGTTCTCATTCTCTCTCCTACCCGTAAAGTAATTGATTGCAAACATAATCAAAAACGAACCACACACAATTTCGACAGTAAACGATCGCGAAACATTGACATTCTTAGGGTTCGAAATCGTTTTCGAATCAGAATTGGAATCAACGAAAGTGGCATTATTTTCATCAGATTTTGTGGATTTTGGGATTGGTTCAACAGGGATGCCTTCGAATTCATCTTCATCTCAGTAATCAAAGGAAGCCGACGAGGGTTTCGGAGGAAGATCAGACGGCTGAGACGAATCGGTCGTTTGTGGGTTTGGTGATGGAGTGTTGGTATCAGGTGGGCCATGGTGGGACTCGGGATCGAACTGAGTGATAATTGGCGGTGGAGGTGATCGGAGAGGGAGATCGGTGAGTTGGA